AGTTTCTAGTTGTAGTAGAAATTATACTTACCTGTTGGACACCGCTATAAACCTGTAAAGGATCCCTGTAGCTGTGTTATTGTTATAGTACTGCTATTAAGAAGGCCACGGTACTGTAACAGTGTAATTCCGGCCAAAAATTGGTATAATGCTGGTAAAAAGGGGTAAGCTATACTGCATTTCAGCCAAAATCAAATTTATACATATATATTTTTTAAATTGATTACTAATTAATTTGTAAATTAAAATATATAAAATATCTAAAATATTATATGACTTTAAATAACTACTATTTTATAATTATAATATTTAAAAATACTATTTAAGCTTTTTTTAAATTTAAAAAAGCAATTCTTTTCTTTCTCTTTGCAATATAATCAAGCATTATATATATTATTTTCTTAATCTAACTCTTTCTATTATATACAAAGAAATATTCTTTAGATTTGGCTATTTTTCTATTTAATAGCTGGTTTGCTTCAAGCAGATAAAAAATCACTAGCTGATGCTACTTCTTATTTATTCTACTGTTATTATAATATCTGAGTACAATCTCACTTGCTAATTTTTCCAGAAATATATTATTATTAATTATAACTAATTTTCACCCTAGGTGATATCACCTGGTATTATAAATTTTTTATTACAAGTAAAATAAATTTAAGGTTAGAAATTAGAGTTGGCTTTAGGTTAGATTAATGGGTTTAAACATATATAAAATTTGAAATTGATAACTTTTGCTTGTTTTTTTTTTTTTTCTTTACTTTGTTTTAGTTACACAAGATTCAGCAATCTGATTGGTTTTTATACCACTAGGTGATATCATCTAGAGTGAAAGTTGGCAATAGTTTTAATTTTTAATATTTATTAAATAAAAAATTAAAAATATTATTTCATATATTATAATTAATAAATAATTTATTTTATAATTACTATTGATTAATAGTATTAATAGCTATTTGAAGTTTATTATCTAAAATATCTTCATTAATTTTATTATTTTCTTCATCTAATTTATTATCATTATCATTATCAATATTTTCACTATCTATTCCTTAAACTATCCAGTTTAGCAGGCAAATTTGCTTGCTAAAATACTTAAAGAAAAATTAACTAATAAAAAAAAATTTTTATATTACCGTATTTGAATTAATCAGGGTAACTTCTGAGAGTTTTGATCATATGGTGTATTTCATAGCCACAGCATAGAATATCTAATTTGACCCAAGAAAATAGCATAAATTTGGGTTATGTGATATAATTTACATCTTTTTTGTACTACTTTTAGGGTGTTTCACATGACTAAACTTTCAGAAATTGCTCAAACTAATTCAGTTTTAAAAATTATATATCTGGGCAAAAATAAACTTACTATACAATGTGGGTACTTATTACTAATAAAATTTTGCACTATCAGGAATACAATTTTTATTCATTTGTAAATAATATTAATATTTAAAATTTTAAGAATAGTTAAGCAATTTTCAATAAATTTAGAGTTTAAATAAATGTTATGAATTTGTATAACATTTATTCAAACTAAAAAATTGTCAAAACTACTTAATAATTCTTAAAAACTATTATTTTCTTTTATAGTATTAATTTTTTTGTTGTATTATTAGTATATACGTACATATCGATAATTATCTGTTATATTCCAAAAGTGGCTAATCTATTTTTTATGATTTTGTACTTAATAAATTCTACACTTCTATAGTATTCATTTAAGCACAAAATCATCAAAAATGAATTAGCTGTTCTTAATTTACAGAAATTATTGTTCTTCTAAATGTTTAAGCCACAAACTGATATGCCATATTATAGATTAGCTACAATCGTGATCTTAATAATGGCAGGACCACCTGTTTTTAGATTCTAATCAGAAATATGGTAAGCTTTTAATTGAGCTTAGGAAAAGAGGGTATTGCTTAAGAAAATTTGGAGCAATTTCTTATAAACAAGAAAAAAATTTTTAGCAGACAAATTTGATTGCTAGATGGTTTAAGGGATAATATCATCTTTATCAGTATTTTTTTCTAATCCTTTTTTAAATAATTTAACTTGTTAAAAAATTTCTTTTTTATAATATTCTAAATAATAGTTACAAAAAAATGAATAAAATTATAACAATTATCATGATATAAATATCTACAAATATATACTTTTCTAGTTAAAAATCTAATTGGAATTGTATACTGATCACAAGTATCTAATGCTAGAATATGAGCTGTATAATATCCTGATGGTAAACAAGTAGTATCTAAAGTTTTATTTAATGTTGCTAAAAAAACTTTAATCTTATTATTATTTTTAATTATTTTGCTTTTTCCAAGATTTTGAAAAATTTGTTAAAATATTCTATTAAAAATAAACTACTTTTTTTTGTTAAATAATCTAATTGATTTGGTTTATATAGATATACTTTTCATTACAAAAAGTATTAAATAATTGATTATCATGTATATCTAAAATATAAGATTATTCAATAATATGATCTGCAGTACTGTTTTCATTAATATTTGCTCTTAATCTACTATGAAAATTTTTAACAAAATAATCATTAAAATTAACTAAATGTTGTGATATAATATTTGCTAAAGAATGATTATTTTTATACCAATAAAGATAATCTGATATAAAAGCTAAAGGTGCTTTGTTATAATTTTTTCTTTTTCACTATAATACAAATGTCCATAATCTAAATAATATATCAAAATATTGATTAAATTTCCCAGATCTAAAAAGAATAATATATATATCTAAAGTTGCTAGTATTAGATTATCTAAAAGATCTAATATCATACAATATTCTATATCTTTGCAATTATTTCCAAATTTTAATAAAATTTTTTCAGATATTTTTTTTTATCCATTATAAATTAATTCTAATAATAAATTAATCCTCCAAAGTTTTGGTTTTTTTGCAAATTTTTTAGCTTTAAATATATAAAGAAAAATTTTTTAAAAAATGAATAATAAATAAGAATAACTTGTTTACGAAAATTTAATGAAATATGAAAAGATTCTATAATTGAAATAAAATTACTAACTTCTTCAGGAACAGGAATTAAATTAAATTCTGATATATTAACTTGTTTATAATAATATATTAAAAGTTTTCTAATATAATATTGTCCTGGCTAATCTGCAATTATAGATATGACATTATTTTGAAAATATGATTAAAATGTTCTTATAGAAGTTATTATTTTTAAAGCATCTAAATAATCTTTTGTTGAATATAAACTTTGTTGTTTTACTTCAACTATTTTAATATTTTTTATTGATCTTTCTTCTTTACGCTTAGCTATAGTATTATTATATATATGTATTGTAAGTAATTCAATTTGATTTTGATTTTCAAATTGAATATAATTCTTTATCCAATTATATTTTTGTGAATTATAACTTATATTAAATTGATCTATAATATTATTATATAAATATTCTATAATAAGTATGTCTTCAATATTATTTTGATTAAAAAATGAATATTGATTAAAATGCATATAATTTATAGTTGCTAAAACAGGTGGTATATTAATAATAGGTTTTACTATGCATATTGTCATATAATTTATTAAAAAAAGTGATATTGTATTTGGTCTATATATTCTATGAATATTATGAAAATCATCAATATTAAAACAATAAAATGTATTTGTCTAAAAAATTATATAATTTAGTTTAAAATTAAAATATTAAAATATTAAAATAAATAAAAATTTAAAATATAATAATTTATATTTAAATCAAAATATTTATTAATTCTTGTTATATGTGCTTTTGCAATATCTTTTTTATATCTTTGAATTGTTTTTGTATAAACATTAAGACCAATATTTGATAAAATATTAATTCCAGAATAAGACATTCCTGAAGATTGTAAATAAAGACCAAAATCTAATTTAAAATTATTAGCAAATTTGTTTCTTATTCTAACTAAAAATAGCAATATGCAACTACTTGTTTTTTTGCTTTTTCTTTATTTTTAGTAAGTCTTTTTTTTGGAATTAATGCATTAATAATTTCATCAAAAAATCCTATTAATTTTGGTTCATTTGTTTCAATTATTTGTTGAAATTGTATCAGATCTAATAAATATCTATTATTATTTTGTTGATATTTTAATAATACAGTTGTTAATAATTCTATTTGTTAAGCAAATGAATATTTTAAACTTTAAATAAAATATAAATTAGTATTAAAATTATTAAAAATAAAATAAATAATTAAAATCTATTAATTACCTGAATTATTTAATATTGTTAAATTAATATTATTTTGCTCTATTAAAGTTTCTATTTTTAAATCCCTTTGAGCAATTAACTTGACTATTTGATTAAAATTTGTTTTATCAATTAAAATCATATTATCAACTATATTAATTGTAATATCTTCAAATTAATTAATTTTAATTAAATTATTTTGAATTAATTCTTCTTTTTGAGTATTAATTAATTCTATTAAATTTATTAAATTATTAGTTTCTTGTAAATTTATAAGATTATTAATTTCTATAAAAGAACTAAATTCATTTGATTCTATTAAATTATTAATATCCATTATATTTGTTGAAATATTAGATTTATTAATATCTGTTAAATTATCTATATTATTTAATTGATTATTTTTATTAATAGTTGATTTTTGATATCTTTCAGAATCAATAATTTTTATATAACAAGAAGAATATAATTTATCAACTCCAGCTATAAGATGTATATAATACTCTTTATCAGAATAATTACAGTATTAATTTTATCTTGTAAATTTGCTGTAATATTTCTAAAATATAAATCATTATCTAAACATATTGAACAAGACATTGAAATAAAATTTGTTAAAAATTATTAGACTATAGCAAATTTTAAAGATATGAATATTGAGTAGAAGATGTTTTATTTAAAATTAATAATAAAAAAAAAGAATTTAAATTTAATAGCCTTTAAATTCTAATAATATAAAGCTAGTATTTGCCAAAATACTATTTCTGAAATTAGCTTTCACCTTATATTATTTTTAAAGAAAAAAAATTATTAAAATAAAAGATAAAAGATATTGTTATAAAATTTACTAAAAACTAGTAAGCTTTAGCAAATTTCAAAAAAATAAGTATCAAGTAAAGATCTTTTATTTACAGTAAAGAAAATAGAAAATAAAATATTTAAAACAGGATTTAAATTCAATAGCTTCCAAAGATACTATAAGGTCCTACAATAGGCAATTGTATTTAAAATTAAACCTATTGTCTAGTTTGTATGGGTCAGATATAGCAAATACTTGCCCTATACAAGGATTATTAGCCACTAAACTTAGAAATATTCTAAGATATAACTAGAAGAAGAAGTACTAATAACCAGACCATCAACAACTATATATAGTCTTTAAATTCCAATAATATAAAGCTAGTATTTGCCAAAATACTATTTCTGAAAACAGCCTTCACTTTATATTATTTACAAGAAAAGAATAAAAATTATTAAAGAAAAAATAAAATGTTTAAGAAAGAAAGATAAAGAATAGTTTTTATAATAATATCAAGAAAATAATAGATAGAATATAATTTTATTAAAGAAATTTAAAGTAGAGAAAACTTTACTTTTTAGAAAAGCAAAAAACTACTCTTTTTATAATTTTTAGCTTAATATTTGATTGATTTTAAGGCTACTATATTGTAGAATTATTTTAGACTATCCAAAACATATGGGAGACCTTGGAAATATAAAAAATCTAAGTAGAATCTTCTAAAATATCAATAAACTCTGCCAAGCCAATACCAAGTAAAACTATTTTTATCAATATTTGGCATTCTGTTACTCAATAAATTACATATTAACTAAAAATAAAATCTATATTATTGTATAACTCTTATATTAATCTATAAAACTTATTATAATCATTTGATATTTAGAAATCTTTTTAAGCATGTTATTCTAGAGTTAACTAAAAATAACTATGGGTGTCTGAAAATAAGAGGTCCAATTGGATTCTCGCTTGGTTAGAAGGTAACTCACATAGGCGCAGAGAGTTTAAATAGGTAACCCCCTAGTCG